GAAAGAGTGAGCATGGATGGGGAAGGTGGAGGGTAAGAGTCGTTAGCTAGCCCAGGCAAGAAACCCATCAAACGCACCCTTCAGAATACCCTGGCCTTCAGAATACCAGTCAGAATGAATTTAGGGTTCTGGTGACAGTCATCCAACATTGTTTTTTTCAGACAATGAGACTCCGTGCGTACTTCTGAAAAAAAAAAAAAACAAAAAAACTGGAGGACGTGCCAGCTAGAGTGGTTGGAAGTGATGGGGTTAACCTGGGAGAGCTTCGCGGAGGAGGTGAGGCTTGAACGGATTAGGCAAGCTGGGCGGCGGGCTGGCTGTTCAGGCGGGGAGAGTGCGGCTTGTGCCAAGGTTTGCGGGCGGCGTGTGCTAAGCGATCGAACTGCGCCGGGAGCGCTGAGACACGGAAGAACGAAAGGGTCTGCGCGAGCCCTCTGCGCCGCCTCCACCCACACCCTGCACGGGGCCCGCGCCTGCCTATTCTCCACACTCTTCCCGCAAGGCCCAGCCCATAGTCCACGCGGGGCAAGGGAGGGAGGGTGGGGGTGGCTTTCGTACCCCAACCTCCCCTAGAGGCATGGGGCCTCAGCTCCCTCCGTGGGTTATAGCGAGGCGAGAGGGGAAGCCACCAGCAAGGTCACCTTGTTGGTCCGTGTCAGAGCTGGGGTGGAATTCATGTCCCGCTCGCCTATGTCAGAGCCCCGGGCACGTCCCGCCTGGCGCCGTCGGTTTTCGAAGCTCCGTCCGCACTGGGCCTGGGGCATTGCCAATTCTGAGAGCCTTGGAGCTGGGACGTGAGGGCCACTGCTCACTCCAGGGCTCAGATGCAGTAGCCTCGCCCAAAGTGGCGCGGGGCGGGCGGGCGAGCTCGAAAATGGGCAGAAACCGCGGGACCCTATGCGGGACGGGGTGTGGGGGGCGGGCTTCTAGGAACGCCTCGGCCAATGACGACAGCAGGGGGACGTGGTAATAACAATGGCTTCCTCCGGGATTTCCTTTCCTGGGCAGCCCGTGGCGCAGGGACAGCAGCCCCGGGTGCCCGGGAGGGGGCGCAGACGCCGGCACGTGCCCGCCCCGCCACTGCCACCCGGCGGGGAGCGAGAAGGCAGGACGGGAAAGGGGCGTCGGAGCAGACGGATAACAGGGCTGCCCTTCGCCTCGCCTCCCTGGCCTTGGAACGTGCTGCCTCCAGAAGTCGAGTGCAACGGCAGGGCGAATACCAACAGTTTCTTTTGCTTGGAAATTTATGCATGAAAAGCCTGGCAGTGAAACAGACAGCTTGCACCTGTTTCTCAAAGAACCATCAGGGCCCTATGAAAATCTTTGCAAAGGGTCCTCTTGAATTCCAGGTCTGAGGAAGGCATTCTGCACCTGGACAGGAGCTAGGAAAACTGTGCAGGAGTTAGAAGGACAGCTGAGGGCTGGTGCCCTGTATGGAACTCTAGTCTTCATTCAACATTTACTGAACACTTATTCCTGCCATGTGCCCTGCTATCCTAGCTGCGGATTCCTGGTGAACAAGATAGACGTGTTCTCTCCCATCCTGGCTTTAACTTGATTGCAAGAGATTTCTATTCTGCAGATTTTCGTTACTGATTTACCCACATGCTCTTACGCCTTCCTCAGATACCAATTTTCCCTAAGGTGAGTCCTTAGTCTACTCTTAGTTGGGGAGGCAGGAAGGCCTGGATGTTCCCGAGAGGACAGGTCAGTGCCAGCTTCCAGAGCAGAGGGCAACAGAGCGGCTCAGAAGGAGGCTTCAGGGAGACCCAGGCTGGAACAGTTCATATTGAGAGAGTAGGAGAGCAAAGCCCAGTGCTGAGGTCAGGATTTAGGCTGGGCCAGGGATCTCAGGCAAGATTTGGAATCCAAGGCTGTGGGCCAGGGTTAACACTTGAAAGGGCCAAGCCAAGCTGAAGGGTATGCACAGAGGTGTTACCCCTAGAAAGCCTTTCCTGACCCCTCCCACCCCTGGGTGGGTTATGTGCCCTTCCCTGGTGATCTCAAGGTCCACTGTGCCTCGGTGATGTTAGCACTCACCATGTTTTAACAAAATCTTTACTTGTCAGTCTCTTCACTAGAGTACAAGCTCTCTGAAGACAGCTGTTGTCTTTCTCAACACTGTGTCCCCAGCACACCATAGTGCCTGATACACAGTCCTCGATAAAGCCATCCCAGAAAGGAGGAGCTGATTGTCAGAGTGGAAGCAGGATGGAGGAAGCAGGATTTCAGTTGGAGATACGGAAGATGAGGGAAGGCTGCAGCTTAAATGTCACATCCTCAGAGAAGCATTCCTGACCCCCCAAATCAGCCTAGTGCATGTTATGCATTCTCATTGCACACTTCTTTTTCTGCCTTAGCACTTATCCTACTGTAATTAAATTGTTATTTGAAGATTATTTCTTTTTTCACTCGGCTTCCAGGATACCATAATCTAGTTTTCCTCCTATTACATTGACTGCTTATTTTCAGTCTCCTTTGCTGGTTCCTCCTCATCTTCCCAACCTTTTAACGCTGGAATATTCCAGGACTTGGTCACCCTCTTCTCTTACCTTCCTACACTTAGTCCCATGGAGATATCATCCAGTCTCAAGGCTTTAAATACTACCTAGAAACAGCAAGAAGCAATGATTGTTGAAGCTGGGTGATGGGTACATGAAGGATCATTGTACTATTCTGTTTCTATATGTGTTTGAAAGTTTCTATTTAAAAAAAAACTTAAAAAATAAATGGCAGCTTATATGATGATTCCCAGATCTCTCACTTGAACTCTGAACTCATATACCCAAATGTCAGCTTGACCTCTCCTCTTTAATGTCTCATAGGCATCTCAAGCTTCATCAAAAACTGAGCTCCTGATCGCCACCCTTACCCCAAACCTTCTCTTTCAGCAGTCCTCCCGTGTCAGAACATGCGAACTCCATCTTTCCACTTGCTCAGACTGGAAGCCTTAGAGTCATCCTTGACTTCTCTATTTTTACCCCACATCCAATCTGTCAACAAATCCTGCTCCCATCCTTGTCTAAACCACCATCGTCCGCCTTCTTGATTACTGCAGTAGCCTCCTAGGTTGTCTTCCTTTTTCTACCTTTGTTGCCCTATAGTCTATCCTCAATCCGGGCTAGGCAACTAGGCCAGATTTCATCAGTCTCTGTCTCAGTATCAGCCAAAGGCCTTCCACTGGCCTGCAAAGCCCTATGCAATCTAACCCCCTCTGATCTCATTTCATACTACTCCCACCTCACTCCCCAGCCACTCTGGCCTTTGTGCAAGTGGGTCCTATGACATACCCGGTGTGTTCCACCCCAGGGCCTTTGCATTTACTCATCTCTTTACCTATAATACACTCTGCCAGATGTCTTCATGACTCACCTGAGCATCTGCTTCAGGTCTTGAATCAAATATCACTTTTACAGGGACTTCCCTGGTGGTCCAGTGGTTAAGAATCTGCCTTCCAATGCAGGGGACACGGGTTTGATCCCTGGTCAGGGAACTAAGATCCCACATGCCACGGGGCAACTAAGCCCGTGTTCCGCAACTACTGAGCACACGGGCCACAACGAGAAAGCCTGTGAACCACAACTAGAGAGAGAAGCCCGCGCACTGCAATGGGTGCAACTAAGACCTGATGCATCCAAAAATAAATAAATAAATATTACAAAATATACATATATGTACACACACACACACACACATATATATCACTTTTACAGGCCCTCTCTGCTTATCCTTTTAAAAAGTGCAGTCTTCCCTCAAATTTTTTCCATCTCCATCCCTGCTTTATGTTTCTCCATAGCAACTATTACCACCTAACATTCTGAATATTTTACTTATCTTGTTTACTGTCTATCTCCTCTC